CTGTTTCGATCAGAAATATACCTGTGAAGTTCTGGTATTGGCCCAGGATCCTTGCATGAAACTCAGAAAGGGGCAAGCAATACGGAGAGCAGTAGATTTTGAGCCCATAACTTCCTGTCAGGACCAGTTCTGGGGATCAGGATCGTGTATGTATATCACCACTGACTGTAACTGCATAGTTGCTGACCTATGATTTGCACTTTGTAAAGGAAGGCTAATTCTGCATTGGGGGGTGAGGGAGGCAGGAAAGGGTGGTATCTGGTGACAGCCAAGGCTCTTCGTTCCTTCAAAGCAAAGAGAGGTCTGGATCCTCACTGTACTGGACATCTTGGACATCTGTGCTATTCCTAAGGTAAGCTGAATGAAAGCCCTTGACAAGAAGTCTCTTTTGTTGTAGGAAAATGAAAATCAGTGTAGAGTTTGTCATGATGTAACCCATGTTGCTAAACTTCATACCAAGACTATGAAAAAAATAAAAGATGACCTTCTAAGGATTTATGGTACTTGTTTTTATGCCCCTCTCCCTGTCCCAGAATTAGAATAGAGGGCTGACAAGAACAGTCACTGTGTAGTAAACACAGTCCTCTTCCCTTGAAAGCCTCTCCTGAAACCCTCCCCACACCAGATGAGGCTAGCTATCACTGCTCATAAGCCTGGGGCCTGCCTAACCTGTCATCAGACCTCATCATTTCTTCAGTGGAATGTGGGCAGGCACCTAGACCCTATGGGATTTCTCTTCCCAGCTCCATGGCAGTTCAGGCCCGGAGCTTATAAATTCCTGAAGAATGAATGAACGCCATTGTGGTGAGGAATGCCATTGGGTCTGTTGACAAAAGCAGAGTGCTTAAGGGGTTGCGCCTGTCAGGCTGGACAAGAACAGCTGCAAACTGTTCAACCTTCAGCCTGGGGAAGGAGGAAGAAATGAAAAAGAAAAAAAAAGAGTTGGATATAAAAGTTATAATGGTGAATACATTTGTCAAGGCTTACAGAAGAGACGTGAGTCCTGATGTGAACTTGGACTGCTAATGATGCGTCAATGCAGGTTCATGGATCATGGCACGGGTAACAGAGATGCCTGACATTGGGGCTGAGGATATGTGAGCGCTCTCTATGAACTTAAAGTGATTTCAATTTTTTAAAGTATATGTCATTACAAAGAACTACCACCATTTGATGCTTTATGGCTTTATGGTCAAATTCAACTCTGTCTGAACTATGACGAGAAACAGGTTCCCTTAGAGTAGACTATGCATATCTAGTAAGATACAAAGCATTCCTTCCATAGTCAGTGACACACTGGCCCAGAAGAGAGCCAAGGACGAAAGGAAAATACACATAGTGTGGAAATCAAGTCAAGTCAGTACTAATAAAACATTAAAAACAAACAACACACAAGCCTTTAAATGCCCTTCCAAAATAAAGATGATGTATATGAATTTACTCTCATCTTTTTCCCATCCATTCTCAGGCTTGGTTTCTAAAATAAAATATAATGACAAAACTTGCCAGTACCAAAACAACACAGGAAAACATTTGTGTGTAGTTCTGGAAAACCAATTATTAGTTTTATGATTAATTTTAGTTGAACAATTATAATTTTTTATAATTCTCTTTAAAAATTCTCAAAGAATAAAGGGAAGATTCCCTTTCCTAGACAGTAACTTGAATGAGGCTTTATAATACATCTAACACCCCACATTTTCCTTCGCGCACATGCATATGTAGGCATCTGTAGACCAAAGGTTGATGTCAGAGGTCCTTCCTCTGGCAGTGTCCACCTTGAGGCACTCTCTCACAGAACCCAGAGCTTGCCAGTTTGGCTAGACTAGCTGGTCAGCAAGCTCAAGGAATTCACCTGTAAGCCCATAGCCATTACAGATGTAAGCTGATATCCAGCTTGACGTGGGTGCTGGGAATCTAAACTCAGGTCCTTATGTTTGTGGGGCAAGCATTTTACCAACTGAGCTATCTGTCAGACCCCACATTTTCCTTCCTAATCATAATAGTTATTTATGGTGTCCTCAAAGGCCTTGTTTCATCTTAACCTTATAACTGCCATTTAAGGTATAGCCCAATTATATCACTACATATTAATGTTTATGCTAATTTGTTAGTATTCAGTATTAAATGCTACCATATACAGGGAATTATTTTACAAATACAACTGAAATGGAGCTCTGTAAACTGACTGGCATCACAGTACATTGTACAAAAGAGAAAATCAAGTTTCCCAGTTTTATATAACTTCTTCCCAGAGTCTCAGGCTAATAAGCAGAGGCCGGAGGAGAGAAACCAAGGTCTTTTGACTGGAAGTCTTAACCATTATTCCATACTGTGTGCCCAGGCAGAGAGACCCTCCCTTCTGTTTAGCATCCTCAGAGTTATAAGAATAAAAAGAATATACTAAATAGCGAGGTAACCAGACTCTGGAACTTGACTGAGTTTTATGTTTCCCAAGGGAAGCAGTCAAAAGCTCATCCTTAGAGCCATTTACAACCACAATGGAGACCATTACAGCACTAGAGGCTTATAGCGGTGGTTTGCCAGCTGAGCAAAATTCCTTCTTCCTCGGTCATGATTCTGAGGCTGTGAATCCTGCTATAAGAATCTTACCTCTTCCCAACCAGCCAAGTCACTTCTTTGCGTTGGGTGACGGCCTGAGTTCATTCTCCATTTCCTAACTGGGCAATTTAGGCCTTCATTAACACTAACAGGACAACCTTCAGTTCTGAAGTAGGGTTGATAGTCATTCAGGGGCTATCCCTCCATGCATACTAAAATCATTGTTTTAAACCATAATTCTAATGTCACTGTGAGATAACTGGGAGCTTATTCTAGTAAAGCCCAACTCAAAATGCATTTAGCCACTCAATCTTTCAGTGAGGCACACTGCCTGGTTCTGTGCTAAACTGCAGAACCCATGAATGAGTTGGAAACCAGTGACTACCAGTGGGCAGGTTCATTCATTTACGCCCTCCCCAGCTTCCTCCCCCATTACTGTATCAGCATTCATTCCAAAGCACTTGGCTCTCTTACACGTCTTCCAAGGCTCAGTATAAAGACAACGGATGTCTTCAGGTAGTGTTCTGATTCACTGGTGGAGAGGGCCTCTTTCACGCATTCTCTATATCGTTATTAAATCTGTCACAACTGTAATCGAATACGTTCGTGACTTCTTTTTGTTGTTGTCATCATGTCTTGCCTATTTTAATGGAAGTGACGCGAGGGCCACGACTACGGATGGAGTTCATTATGGCATGTTAGGTATGCTATGGGCTCTGAGGCACCTTCCAGCTAAGGGCTTAGTAAATATTAATCTTGTGATACTTCACAATCTTTAGCATTTTTGTGTGTTATCTGATTCCCTAATGGGATTACATGCTTCGCTGCCACTTTCAATCTCTACTCAAACATATACATGTTTATTTGTACACCTACCGACCATCAGCACTTTACAGGGCTACTTTTATTATAATCTATCATTTTTCCTTACAAATAAGTTCAGGGGCTAGGTCACTTCTTTTAAAATATTTTTTGAACTTTTTTATGTTCTAGCTCCTAGAGAGGATTATGTGAATATTGTCAGTCAAAATGGAGTCACTTATATCAACCCTAACAGAAATAAAACCAGGAAGTCATAACCAGCTCTTACACCATTGCCTGATAATAACCATAGCAAGAGACTCTGCCAGAACCACAGCGTGCACAGAAGCCATGTAACCTTACACACAACACTGCAAGGACATTTGCCCAGAAACTGTCTGTTCAACCTCAGACTGACATCACTCTTGCTAATAATATGGCCAAGGATAATTGTTTCACAATACCTGTGTGTCTCTAAAACTTCTCCCTTGCCTCAACCTTTTTGAGCACACTCAAGTTTCCCTCCCACTGTGATGCTCTGTTAGCCTCAAATAAATATTCTTCTTCAAAGAGGCTCTCTGATTGCTGTTTTATTTTTTCAGAGTGACACTGGGCTGGGCTCAGCATCCTCTAGCCCTTCATCAATACTCAGTAGTGTATCTTATTGTGATTGCAAATGCATTTACTCTGCAGACAAAATTGCTATATTTGTTTAATAAGCAGTTTCTTCAGTAAATTCAGTAAAAGGAAATAAAAGCCCTTTTGCACCTATTCTGGGCCTGTTCATTTTGGAGGTCCTTTTAAATGCTTCCAAACATGTCATTTTCCTACATTAAGCAAGCTAAGTCCACTTAGAAAAATAGCGACAGCAGCCTCCACCAAAACCACCGAAGGGAAGTGCAAACTCTGCATTAGGGTCCCCACCCCCACTCTCTTGTGCAATAAGAACTTTGAAAGACTTGCATAGCAGGAGAAGCAGACTCCTGGCTGCTTAGCTCTATATAAATCACCTTCGTTATTTAAATAGCCCAGGCATTTGAATGTCACAGGACTGTGTTAGTAGCTTCAGAGTCTGGTGTAGGGAGTGCTGGGGGCCTCCCAGGTGCCCCTCTCAGAGGCCCCATCTGTTCTTTTGCCAAGTGCAGGCACCTGCAGCCTTTGCCATGTGACGGTACCACATGACTATGTTCACCCACTTTCTGATTCCTGGAGATAACATGCTTGCTTCATCTGAGGCTCTGAAACCACCTAAGGTACAACATGGGCTGCTGTACACACAACTTCCGGTGCACACCCCAGGGCATGGGGGATGGGGGGCAATTCTTACCTTGATTCTGAAATGAAAAAGAAAAAAATAACCTCTGTGTATTGAAAATGTATGTTTGTAAGACACTTGAACATGGACACATAAAGCATGGTCACTGAATGAATTCATCGAAATGTCTACTGAGCACTGCAAGGGTGTTACACACTAAGGTGAACAGCTTGAACTAGGATCAAAATGTCAGAGAAAGGTATACATGTGGAAAAATAAGTTCAATGAGTTCTAATAAATGGTTTGTTAGAAACCCTCATAACATTTTTCAAAAGAACTTGACAGCTTTTATTTTAGTAAGACAGAGTGAAGAGGAAATGGCTTAAAAGATATCATCAATCTTTTATTTAACTAAGTACTGCCCTTCATTTTGAAGGAAATGATACAATTTCAAATTGGAACTTCCTTCTCAAGAAGTGGTAAAAGAACATAACCGATTTAACAGACAACCTCCAACAAAAATAAGGTTCATACAATTTATGGGGAAATAAAATGCAGATGGAGTTTATCCTGTTGGTAATTCTCCACGAGTCACAAATTTATAGTCAAGAACAAAACAACATAACAAAAGTTGAATAAACCAGTCAAGTTTATAGTTATCCTGATTTTAAAAATTCACAAATAAAATCTAACTTTCCAAACGAATCCATCGGAGGACCATAATCACATTCAATTTTATTGTAATTTGAAAATAAATATTGGTTAGACAACACATAATATCAAGAGTCTTTAATACAGTGAATCCTATTTTAGGGGGAAAAAAAATAGAAAACAAGTAGTCCTTAAATTTTCTTAGCTTTCCATAGCATATGTCATATAAAATTAAAGTTTTGTTCCCCAAAAATATGTTTTCATGTGGTTGTGTTCCTGTCCGATGGTGCCAGGAGGGCTGGAAGCACCAAAGCGTGGAGAAGCTTAACCACTGAACCATTTCTCATAAAAACTAAAAATTTTCTTCAAGATCTGGAATAAAGTCTTCTGCTAGGTATTTTAGTGCTACAAAGTCATTTTAAATTAAATGTGGAATAAAAGCTACAAAAAGTATGAGTTCTTCCGATACAAAAACTTGTATAACTGAGTTGTAGGCTCCTTTGACATACATAAGCAGTCTCAATAAAATATTTGCTCGGCTAAGAAAATAGAATTTGTTTCATTTAGTGTATGTTCCAGCGCTGTCCTGCTTACCCCTCACAGAGCTTCCAAAGAATGCTGGAATCAATATTTCTTTCCTTCAAAGAGCATCCGTAATTCACAGTACAAAATAGTTCTAAGTTTTATTCCTAAGGAGAAACAAAAATTATTAAATAAACATACTTTTTTTCCCCTAAAGTGCCAGATACAGTCAATGCCAGGGCATTACAAAGGCCAAACTTCCCCACAACATGGCTGAATTGATATGATGCTCTTTCTTGAGCCCTGACAGTTGGGTGTTGCTTTACTTTAGTTCAGACTTTCTACCCTAAGGAAGTTTCCAGGGGTGTATCTATTCATAAGAATCATGTGTCTGGTATCTCTGGCTTCCTACAGAACTTCTGGCAGCACCATCTCCTGGACCAGGTCTATTTCCAAGCTCTAGTTTGTTTCCAGGTTCTGTTGTCAAAAACCTTTTCTCATGCTCCTGTGGCAGTGGATTTTATGATTTCTCCCTTCCAGGTTTGACTTTCAAGGGCACTCTATTTGTTAACAGATTCCTTCCCTCCTATGGTCTGCAAGTGGACATCCATTTCAAAATCCACTAACCCAAATCTGTTACATACAGCAGGTACTTCTAAATGCAATCACCGATGATCATCTTGCTCTGCTTTTCCATGACCAAGAAAATATAAGCAGATAGCTATGTTCATATTAAACACAGATTCCTACATTTCCAAATGGAAACTGATTCTCCAAAGTCCCAGTCCAAAGCAGCTCATCTTTAACATTCAAAAGGGCCTGTGTGATAGTCACCGTGAAAATAAGAGTATGCATCTAATGCCTTTATAATGAAAAGATTTCACACTGAAGTACTATGAAGATCTAGGTTTTTAAAAATTATGGTCTCACATAGTGGTACACACCTTTAATCCCAGTACTCAGGGGGCAGAGGCCGGTGGTTCTCGGTGAGATGGTGGCCAGCCTGATCTACAGAGCAAGTTCTAGGCCAGATGGGGAATATATCCATTCTCAAAAAAAGTGTCATTTAAAGATCTCCAGGCAAGAAGCCCAATGATGACCAGGGCTGTAGAACACACAAGTAGGATTCTGTTCATTGGCTAAGAACTAGGTCACAAAATGATTTGTCCAGTGCAGTTTAACTGTCTCCTGAGGGGAAAAGGATGGCAATCCTTCAATCTTTACTCAACTTTTGAGAGCAGTGCTGATAGGCAAGTAGATAAGCACTACTGAAAGGCTCACCCAGGAGTGTAAGGGGCAGGCTACCACATTTTTAAAAGCCTCCTACTGAAACACATAGTAGTTGAGCCCCAGACCCAAGAGCTATCTGTTCAGTTGGCTTCTAACACATCCCATTATCACCAACCTGTTTGGGGACTGTCATCAATTCTGTGATGACTATACTCTGTGGCACCTGACTCATGTCACCCCTTTTGAGAGGGAGCCGAAAGGGTGCTCTCCAAACTGAACAAAACTTTGTACCCTGAATTAAACTGCATCAAAGTGAGAACCTGACCACACAAACCTGTCTGAAACCTAAGATTTACCACCAGCAGAGGAGAAGTCATGATGGGTAAGCTGGACCCAGGAGAGAAAAAAACAACAACAAAAACCAGAATCCTAGAATCACCACCTAAGCTTTGTTTTTATAGTTACTATCACCATTCACAAAGGGGATCAGGAGGAGAGTTTAAATAATTATTGCCAGGGCAACACTGGCAGACTCCCTAGAGGACAGTTCATGGGATAGCACAAGCCAACCTCATCTGTGACCTGCAGATGAAGACAGACAAGCAGGTTTAATTAGATCAGAGACACAAAGGGCTATTCCCTCCACTGATAACAAATACCACAGCTCTACGTGCCTGTAACAGCAGGCAAGGAACAAAGGCAGCACAACAGCACCTTAATTGAATCCTTTCCCTGGCTGGCCCTTGACAATGATTTACTTGTAACCTGGGAAGGGCGGCGGAGCCTGAGACTCAGCTAAGAGCCAGCTTCCTAAGAGGAATAACTCGGGCATGGGGGGGAGGGAGGTAGTAAAGTCTGTTTGTGGTCCGACTTTGCTCAACCATTTGTTACACTTTATACAGAGCTGCTTGGTTTCGGTCTGCTGCTTCCAGATCTTACTGGTGGTTTCACCAGCCCCGCGCCCCAGGAATCCCATAAAACAAATCACTCCAGTCTCTAGGATCTGGAGCACAGCTCAGCAGGGGAAGCAGATAAGCAGTTCTTCCTGCTGACCCGCGGAGGCGCCTCCCCAGTCCTCTCTGGCCTTTGTACCTGGCATCCTCCAAGCTCTCCGGGGAGGGAGTGGGGGAGTGGGGAGGAGACGTGCAGGGCATGGGTACTCTGAACTTTTTTCCAAGCCTGCATGCACATGACCCGTCCAATTTGGACCCAGATCTGTTAGAGTTAAAGTGCCAAGCAAAACATACTTTATCCCACCATAGAAGGGAAGACTGCGGGGGGGGGTCAAAGGAAAATGGCCCTCTCCCTCCGTCCCCCGTAAAAATGTTCCTACCTGCGCCCTAGGTCCCCTTCCTCCTCCCCGTCCACAGCCGTTGCGTATTTCACCAACTCTCCGTTTTCCAGGGGCCCAGTAATACCAAATTGGGGCCCAAAAGGAGGAGGAGGCAGGTGGGGCGGGAGAGGAGGAGGGGGCTGCGACCGCTGCCAACAGCTCTTCAGCAGCTCTGAGCCCACGACGTCTTCAGTGCGTCACCGCCTCTCCATCCTCTTCCTCAGAGCCCGGCGCAGGGGGGCGCGGCCGGGGAGAAGGCGTAGTCCGAGCCGCGTCGCTCTCGCCCTCGTCCGGCTCAGCCGGGTGCAGGTGCACCGCGAGCTCCTGCAACACTGCCGCGCGTCCGATTTGGTCGTTGCGCCGCTTCTCCATAATCAAATCCTCCAGGCTCTGGAACTCCAGAGTGTGGCTGCGCTGAGCCGAGAGCTGAATCTGCAAGCGGTAGGGCTGCTTGCCGATGCGCAGCTCGCCACCGATCTTGAACTCCCGCTTGCCATAGCGGCACCAGGCGGCAAAGCTCTCCGAGTTGCGCCAGCTGAGCTCGCGCTCCTTGGCGCCCACGTGCGCCAGTGCGTTGCGCACCACCGCGCTGGGGCTCAGCGGCTTGTAGCGGTACAGATCATTGACCACGCGGCCGCGACGACCCTGGCTCGCGTCGGTCAGGAAGCTGTTGCTCACCTCCAGCCGGTGCAGGTGCACCACCTGGAAATTGCCCACATAGACCGCCCAGTGCGGGTACTGCGCCTGCGACACAAACTCCACCAGGTCGCCCGGACTGCACTTGTTGAGCAGGTTTTCGGGCGTGTAGGTGCTCAGCGCTGCCGAGCCCGGCGCGAAGCTTTTCTGGTAGATGCACTCGTCGCGGTAGAACACGGAGCACTCTACCTCGTGCTGTCGCGGGTCGTAGGGCTGTGGCGGTGGTAGGGGCGGCCCGTCCCCCGAGTCCGGGAACCCGCCACCATCAGGCCCCTGGGGCGGTGGCTGCTGTTCCACGTCCTCGTCGTCATTGGAGAAAATATACGACACTCCGATGCGAGGCCCATCGTCCCGGTCCACGCCAGTCGGGTCGGCGGTGGGAACTTCCTTGTAACTTAGGTGGGTCAGTTTCTCCACCTGGTTGCCCATGCCGCTGTGGACACTCGCTCACAGCACCACGAGAGGAGAAAACGAAAGCATCAACAGGGTCATTGGCACGGGTCCCCGGACAGGGGCTAAAGCCACCTGTTGGAAGAGAAGGCAAGGAAGCTGTGTTGGTAGGAGCCTCTCCGGGAAGAGACGTTTTGTTCAAGGAACGGGTGGGGGCCGAGCACCTGGAGCCATTTTAGGAGCAATCTCCGTAGCCAGTCTTCCTCGCCTTTCTCCACCTCTAGGGTCACGATCACAGGAGACATGGTAACTCCAGCTCTCCCTGCCCCCAGCCATCACCTGGCTCAGGCCAAAGCCCATTGCATCAGCTGCTCTACAGCTTCCGCCCGCGCCCTACCTGCCAAGCCTGGGCAGGAGGGGGGAAGGAAACAAGAAACTTTACACCGATTCCCCTGTCCTTCCTAAGTTCTCTCCCACTCCGGGTCCTAACTAACCCCCAGACGTCCCTCAAAGCCTGCATCCCCTAGGGAGCGAGCGAGGTTCCCCGGCGTGGCCCCGCAGGTGAGCCACTCCACCTACCTGCGGCGCTTCCTCCGGCGGCTCGCCGGCCCCTCCCTCGAGCGCGGCCCCGGGTTCGGGTTACCTGCGCCTACTCACCCGCCTAGAAGTGGAGGCCCCGGAGGACTGGGAGGGGCCCCCGGCCTCGCCCCGAGACTTCTAGGGCGAGTTCGCAGGTGTGGGCTCCACGGTCCCTCCTCTTCCAGCGCGGGTGGCGGCGAAGCTGGACAGTGGGCGAGGACACATGTCTCTCCCCAACCCCCGCGGCTGCGTAGCGCCCCAAGACTTGAAGACCGGGGGCAACTGCCGTTCACACGGCGCCCCTACTCTCCCGCGGACGCTGCTGCCCGCCCCCTCTAGCAGATCTCCGGGGAGGTGGGGCGCGAGCAGGAAAGGAGACCCAGGAAGCTTCAGTTCCCGGCGGCCGCAGCTCCTGCTCGGGCCGGGCGAGCAACAAGCGCCGGAGCGGGAGGAACCGGATTGTAGATCCGGCTCCGGGCTCCCGGGCGGGAGCGCAGCCCGTGGCATTTAAAGAGACAGGCGCTCGCTCCTGGAGCTGGGTCTTTCCCGCAAGGCGCGGAGCCACCGGGGAGCCCCGCCCCAGACCCGCCCACCCGGTCCGCGGGGCTCCGCCCTGGCCACGCCCCCTTCGTAGCGGGTTTAAATCGCGTTGGTAGATAATCTGCCCGCCGCTGGACCAGGCACTCTGCACCCTCCGCTCCTGAGGCCGCCTGCCTTGTGTTTTTCCAAGTTGGGGCTGTGAGAAGTTGGAAGGCAGAAGCCACCTGCCAGTAAAGAGATGCAGTTGCGAGAGGCAAAAAGAATTTGTTTCTTCCTGGTCGTCTCCCATTTCTTCTTAGACGGTGTCTGCAGGGAAAGGAACAGACATGAAAGACTGACTCTTCTTGCCAAATATTTCTGCGACCTAAGGTCGTAGTGAAATGATTCATTATAATCCACAGTAACTCAAGAAGTACGTCAGCTAAGAAGTGTTTCCAGATCAATTAGTATAAAATTTGGAGGGTATTAAAAATGTTTTTTCAGAAAGAAGAAACAGTATAAAACAGGATGAAGATTTAATAATCACCTAAACAGGTGGTGATTGTTAGAAGTGAGTCCAAAGTTAATTTCACAGCCTTCATTCCCAGGGGGGTTTGTCCAGTAGTGAAAGCATGCAGAAACCAAGTGGAGGTGTAGGACTTACCTAATTGTCCCTAAATTAGAAACAAATTAGCAGAGGCCCCTGGAGAATGTGTTTCCTTTCTCCTGTCTGAAAAAGGGAAGTAACAGCCCTGCTGCTCATTAACCTCCTCCACAAGAGGACACCCCACCCCCCAACCCCCGGTTCATTTCTTGGAGCTCACACATAAGCTACTAAAGTGATTTTTACTTTTTATGTACTTATTTATTTTGAATGATGGGCTAGAATGGATGGTGCAGTCATTAGTTCCATTCAGAATGAAAAAGCTCAGGAACCACCCAAACCAATTCATAGTGGCCTAAGAACACAATTCAAGACCCCATACCCTGTCTTCCATCAGTTTCTTTGGACCAAATTTTTCCAGGTAACACTGTTAGTTATTCACTGTGTAGCTGTCAGCCAGTGGGAAAAGGAATACACTAACATGGCTATGTTCCTTTTATAGTTTTGGGGGTGGGGTGGGGGGAATCAATCTACTTATGTACCTTTAAAGCAGAACAATCAATATTGTCAGGGCTATGAGGCAAGTTAGACCCTCAGCAAGTCTAAGAGCATAGTATAAATTAGACCAAAAAGAGATGTTTGTATGTCCTGAAGAAGGAATCTCTGTATTTTCAGACTGGGTGCAAGCATATGTAGCTGAGTGAGTGACTCCTGGTCCTGTGAGTATATGCTCTGAGGCTACTGGTACTTCAGGAGAGCACAGAGAAATACTCTTCTGTAGAGGATTACATTTAGAACATGCCCAGTCATCCCATGTCTGTCAAATGGAGAAAACTACTCTCAGATGTAGTGGGACACCTGGCCCCTAGATGACACTGGGTGGATTGGCTGGAGATGGGAGAATTTGTGGAAGGGCAGGGGGTATGACAGACTGCTGCCAGCACTCTGCGTTAAAATTTTAATGGGTAAGGAAACTGGGCATCATTGTCTCTGTTTCCTCCTGTTGTCTTAAGACATCCATTCAGGTGCATAGTAGTGCCTTATTTATTCAACTGGCCAGCTATAAAGTCTCAGAGAGAACAGACCCTACATCCATATGGGAATGTCTAACATCTAGTCACTCAGATGATGAATGCTTAGTAAATGGTAGAGGGGAAACCTTGGCCATATCAAGAATTACTTCCTAAGGGCTGAGATGTAGTTCTGTGAGCCACCATGTGGGTGCTAGGAACCGAACCTAGGTCCTCTGCAAGAGCAGCCAGTGCTCTTATTTGCTGAGCCATCTCTCCAGCCCCCGAGATGTAGTTCTGAAGCAGAGTGCTTGCCCAGCGTGTGCAAGGCCCTGGGTTTAATAGCCAGCACCACAAAATACTACTACTAATAATAGTTATAATAATAATTATATATAATTATATATAATAGTATAACAAATCAGTTCCTGACGTTACGAGTCAGTGCACAGATAAACAAGTTATTCCTTTTGGTAACCAGGCTCTGGTGTAGATTGTTTTATATTTTGTTTGTTTTGTTGAGACAGGCTCTCCCTATAGCCCCAACTGGCCTGGAACTCACTTTGTAGACCAGGCTGGCCTCAGTCTCACAAAAATCCACCTGCCTCTGCTTCCTGAGTGCTGGGAACATCCAGTTTAGATTCTTTTATTAATGAATCACTGAGGTTATTAATGAACATCTATGAATTCCCCTCCTAGAACACTTGGTCATAGGTTACAAAATGACTCCAAAATAAGCTTTGTTCATCTTAAATAATTAATAAGAATTCAGATTATCAGATTTATTGGAAAAATCAAAAGATATAGACCCAACAGATCCATCTCTTAGAATGACAAGCAACACAGAGCTGGAGCTGAGTGGTAGCTGCTTTTCCGCATGTATTTGGCAGCTGCCTCCAGTAGCTGTCCACTCACCTCACCTACCTCCGTCTCTTGCCTGGCCCTGGGAATCTCTCTGCTGATTACCTTTCCCATATAATATATGCATATGCTGCACCTCTTACCACTTGTTTATGTATAATTTAGCTCATGATTATGTGCTGTTTGGCAGTATTCTCTAATTCATAATATTTACCACATATATGTTTTTGGTACAGAGGATTGAACCTAAGGCCTTCCTTACACATGAATAAATTAGAATACTTGAGAGATAGGGCTATGAAGTGAATAAAATAGGGTGCTGAAATTAAATAGCTGAAAGAAAGAGATGGGAAGTGGCCGACTTTACATATGATGGTGAAGGAATACTCCTAAGGAACTGGAACATGAGCTGGACTTGAAGGATGCGGAGGGCTGGCTGGCATTGGTATCCTCTCTAGAAGGAAGACCAGGAGCAAGAGCCAGAGTGGCTTTTAGAGAAGAGGAACAACATGACTAAGACTAGAGCACACTGCATGAGAGGCCATGCTGGGAGTACGGGTAGAGGCAGATGAGCCTGGGGTGTCAGGTTGTCCGTCTGGCTGAGCAGGAAATGGACTGGACTATAGAACAAGAAAAGAAGCAGTTGTTGGGGCTGGAGAGATGGCTCAGCAGTTAAGAGCACTGGCTGCTCTTCCAGAGGACCTGGGTTCAATTTCTAGCAATCACATGATAGCTATGAACAGTCTATAATTCCAGTTCCAGGGGATCCAATGCCTTCTTCTGGCCTCCTCAGGCTTTGCATGACATGGGTGCACTTACATACATGCAGACAAAACACTCATATACAGAAAATAAAAACAAATAAAGGAAGCAGTTGTAAAGGGCTTGAATATGGAATGAGGCAAAATCTGGTGAGCAAAGACTGTGACCCGTGAAGACACCTCCTCAGTGGTGACAGTTGGAGAAAGAAATGTTATTTGGATTTGGATTTTCCATCCTTCTGTAGCTTTATCATTGACAATGACCCAAATTTCGCATTCCATATACCCCCTCCTCTGAGGAGCTCAATAAAACAAGCTGTGCTGAATGCCACTAAGCTACTCCCAGAGTATTCCTGTCCAAGCCAGTAAAGATGAATTGAGAATTGACTTTCTACCCCATGAGGCCTCTGATGATGCAGATAGGTGAGTCTTCAGGTTTAATGGCCTGACTCCACGAATGTACACAACAGGATCAAGGGGATCACAGAGCTATGCAGTTAGGCAATCTGGAATTCCACCTGTCCCCTGGCTGGGCCCCAGGCTCACAGAGACAGTAGCATTTGCTGAAAAACAGGTTCCTCCACAGCACCCTAGACCACAAAGCCTCCTGTCTGCTCTGTACTGGTTCTTAGTGTAGTTTTGTAACCATCTTAGAAAGTGGGCAACTGCAGAGTGGAGCCAGTGAACTTGTTCCTTGTGCTGGCCAAGGGCATGGTCTTGGGGCTGCTTTTTCTCCGTGCTGGACCTCGTTTCTCAGCATCTCAGGTGCTTGTGCCTCAGTGTAGCTCCTCAAGTATGACAGTGTGTGTGGAAGCACCGTGTATATCCTGAAGGCCATGTGCATACTGAGCATTATTCACACCCTCTGTAAGGCCAGATGATGACTGTGTGAGGAATGGAAGGAAAACCACTCGCTGTGGGCCTCATTGCATGAGGTCTCTCCGCAATCCTCATGTTTGTGTCTCCCTAGTGAGAAGTATGCAAGGTCCTAGGCATTATCAAGAAAGAGACCAGATTCAGGTATGAACCTGGCTGCCTCTAAGTCTGGCTTCACACTGAATTGAGCAGTTTAGGGAGAGAGGGTCCCCTATCCTGTGTGTGTTTGCTTAGCTAGAAACCAGCAGATCTGAGTGACCAGGTCATCTTGGTTTGTCTAGTTTTTAGCCCTGAAAGCTTCTGGCCTAAGTAAATGGCAACAGTGGGCACCCTAGCAGGCTGCCTCCCTGTCTGAGGCTCCTCCCTTAGCCAAGGGCTATCTATCATGAGGTGAGCATGACCAAGGAGAAGCAGATGTTCAGAGGAGGCCTTGCTAACAGAGCCCACACTGGGCAGAGATGGAGTCATCCAAACAAGACACCATGAATGGTACAACTTGCTTTATGCTTACATTCTGCATTTTTTGTTTTATAAATCCAACTCCCTAGGATACGTGAGAGCTACTGCAACCAGCTCACCTTCAAGTTACTCACCTGTACCTGCTTTCCTCCACCACCCTAGCCTGCCTGCCTGTCTTTGGCTATAAAATCAGTGAAAGAACATTATACCTTGACATAAACTTTAGATTAAGGAGGGGGCATAAAAGCTGTCTACTGATAAACTTTTCTTTGGCTTCTGTTTTGTTTTTCCTCAGATCACCAGAGCAGGCTCTCTCCAGCAGGCTGGGCTGGAGAGGAATCTCTCTAGTCTACCTGGGAAGGGATGAGAAAGAGCACTCCCCCCTACCCGAAGGGGCCTAGGGCTATGCCTGGGGGCT